CATGGCGATGTGAACTAGATTATTGACTCTAGTAAACCCTTTGGGTGTTGGTCACATAGCAATGTGAACTATGAATGTAATCACATGGCAATGTGAACTATGAATATTAATCACATGGCGATGTGAACTATTAGTGTTGTGAACTAGATTATTGACTCTAATGCAAGTGGGAGACTGAAAGAAATATGCCCTAGAGGCAATAATAAAGTTGTTATTTCATATTTCCTTATTCACAATAAAGGTTTATTATTAATGCTAGAATTGTATTGATCGAAACTTTAATACATGTCCGAATACATAAACAAACACCGTGTCCCTAGTGAGCCTCTACTAGACTAGCTCGTTGATCAAAGATGGTTAAGGTTTCCTAACCATATACATGAGTTGCCATTTGATAATGGCTTCACATCATGAGGAGAATGATGTGATGGACAAGACCCATCTGTTAGCTTAACATAATGATCATTCAGTTTTATTGCTATTGCTTTCTTCATGTCAAATACATATTCCTTCAACTATGATATTATGCAACTCCCGGATACCGGAGGAATACCTTGTGTTCTATCAAATGTCACAACATAACTGGTTGATCATAAAGATGCTCTACAGGTATCTCCGAAGCTGTTTGTTGAGTTGGCATAGATCGAGATTAGGATTTGTCACTCCGAGTATCGGAGAGGTATCTCCAGGCCCTCTCAATAATACACATCATAAGCTTGCAAGCAAACGACTAAGGAGTTAGTCACGAGGTGATGTATTACAGAACGAGTAAAGAGACTTGCCGGTAATGAGAGTGGACTAGGTATAAAGTTACCGATGATCGAATCTCGGGCATGTAACATACCGACGGACAAAGGGAATTATGTATATTGTCATAACGGCTCGACTGATAAAGATCTTCGTAGAATATGTAGGAGCCAATGTGGGCATCCAGGTTCCGCTATTGGTAATTGACCAGAGAGGTGCCTCGGTCATGTCTACAAGTTCTCGAACACGTAGGGTCCGCACACTTAACGTTCGATGACGATATTGTACTATATGAGTTATGTGATTTGGTGACCGAATGTTGTTAGGTGTCTCGGATGAGATCACAGACATGATGAGGAGTCTCGAAATGGCCGAGAGGTAAAGATTGATATATAGGACGATAATATTCAGACACCGGAAGTGTTCTAGAGGGTACAGGGTACATATCGGGTCACCGGAAGGGGTTTCGGGCACCCCCGGCAAAAGATATGGGCCTAATGGGCCAAGAGGGGAAACGCACCAGCCACCAGGGGCTGGTGCGCCCCCCATATGGGCCGAACCAGAGGGGAAGGTAGAAGGAAAGGGGAGGGATTCGGCCTCCCCCTTCCTTCCCTCCTCCCTCCTCTTTCCTCCCCCTCCGGCAGATAAGGAAGGGGGGTGCCGGCCATGGGGAGACCCCAAGTAGGATTCGGCCTACTTGGGCGCCTCCTTGGCCCCTCGATCTCCCTCCCACCTATACATATGTGGGGCACCCCTAGCACACCCCAGACAATTATTAGCCGTGTGCAGCGCCCCCCTCCACTGTTTACTCCCACAGTCATAGTTTCATAGTGCTTAGGCGAAGCCCTGCGAGGATCACTTCACCATCACCATGCCGTCGTGCTGACAGAACTCATCTACTACCTCGACGTCTTGCTGGATCAAGAAGGCGAGGGACGTCACCGAGCTGAACATGTGCAGAACACGGAGGTGTCGTGCGTTTGGTACTTGATCGGTTGAAGCACGAAGAAGTTCGACTACATCATCCGCGTTAAGAAATGATTCCTCTTATGGTCTAGGAGGGTACGTAGACACACTCTCCCCCTCGTTGCTATGCATCTCCATGGATAGATCATTGTGTGTGCGTAGAATTTTTTTTGTTTTCCATCCAACAATTCTCAACATTTTCTTGGACCAGAAGACACCCACAGAGCTTGGAGACCAAGTCAGAAGAGTCCTGAGGACTCCACAAGCCACCAGGACGCGCCCTAGGGGGGGGTCCTGGCTTGTGGGTCCCTCAGGAGTTCACCGACCTCCCTCTGAGTTCTATAAATCCTCAAATATTCCATTATCAACTGAAGCATTCACCAAAATACTTTTCCGCCGCTGTAACCTTCTGTACCCATGAGATCCCATCTTGGGACCATTTCCGGGACCCTGCCGGGGGGATTCGATCATGGAGTGCATCTACATCAACTCTATTGCCCTTTCGATGAAGCGTGAGTAGTTTACCACAGACCTATGGGTCCATAGCTAGTAACTAGATGGCTTCGTCTCTCTCTCTTTGTTTCTCAATACCAAGTTCTCCTCGATGTTCTTGGAGATCTATCCGATGTAATCTTCTTTTGTGGTGTGTTTGTCGAGATCCAATGAATTGTAGATTTATGATCAGCTTATCTATGAATATTAGTTGAATCTTCTCTGAATTCTTATATGCATGATTTGATATCTTTGTATTTCTCTTCGAATTATCGGTTTCGTTTGGCCAACTAGATTGGTTTTTCTTGCAATGGGAGAGGTGCTTAGTTTTGGGTTCAATCTTGCATGATTTCACCCAATGACAAAGTAGGGGTAGCGAGACACATATTGTATTGTTGCCATCAAGGGTAAAAAGATGGGGTTTTCATCATATTTCTTGAGTTTATCCCTCTACATCATGTCATCTTACTTAAGGCGTTACTCCATTCTTTATGAACTTAATACTCTAGATGCATGCTGGATAGCGGTTGATGTGTGGAGTAATAGTAGTAGATGTAGGCAGGAGTCGGTCTACTTGACACGGACGTGATGCCTATATATATAATCATTTCTTTGGATATCATCATAACTTTGCGCTTTTCTATCAATTGCTCAACAGTAATTTGTTCACCCACCATATTATTTTCTTTCAAGAGAGAAGCCTCTAGTGAAACCTATGGCCCCCGGGTCTATTTTTCTTCATATATTTTCATATCTATATACCAAAAATACCTTGCTGCAATTTATTTACTTTTACATTTTAGTAATATTTTATATCTTTCTCTATCAGATCTCACATTTGCAAGTGACCATGAAGGGATTGACAACCCCTTTTTCGCGTTGGGTGCAAGTGTTTGATTGTTTGTGTAGATGCATATATTGGGGACTTGTGTGTTTCTCCTACTGGATTGATACCTTGGTTCTTAACTAAGGGAAATATTTATCTCTACTTTGCTGCATCACCCTTTTCTCTTCAAGGGAAAAACCAATGCAAGCTCAAGAAGTAGCAGACCCCGACTACATCGTTTTCATGGAGAAAATCATCTTTGAAGGTCGGGTGGGGCCTTCAACGCTGACGCTAAGGTCATGCTTTCGATCCTGACGTGACCCAAAGCCAGGATGGCCGCGCCCATTATGGTGACGACCTATTTAGTGGCCATGATGAATATGAGATGGACGACCATGGAAACTCATGGCATGAAGATGATGAATTTTATTGTGAAAATGAGGAAGAAGATATCAACATTGCGAAGGAGACATTGATGTTTATCAACGAGCTCACCCAAAAGGGCCAAGGCACAAACGAGGAGGCAAAGCATTCGCACGGGGTCATACACCCAAGAGGAGGACACTTTGATTTGCGGGAGTTGGATGGAGATAGGCCAAGATCCCACGAAAGGTGCCGAGCAAGAAGGATTCGTCTTTTGGACGAGAGTTTGCAAAACCTTTCATGAGCAGAGGAACATTGCCCCCTGCCAATTTGCGAGCACCCACGGTATCAACTCAATCCAAAAGAGACGGGGTTCATCCAACAAGAGTGCAACAAGTATTGTGCGGCGCTTGAGAGCATCCAATCCCTTCCCGTGAGTGGCCTAGGCGTTGGCGACTTGGTACGAACCTCTCCTATTTTCCATTACATGCCATCGTCATGTTTCATACATCTTGTGTCCTTCCATGTTACAATTGCGGCATCATCTTTGATTGTGTAGGCATTCCAATCTTTGAAAACCTTCAAGGCCCGGCACAAGAACACGCCCTTTACTCTCACGCACTGTTGGTCTCTCTTCAAAGATTGTCCAAAGTTCAAAGACCAATATGCCGCTCGTAAGAAGAAAGGAGGGAAGGCGACCGTGGCTGAGGAGGGATACTTGCTCAAGAGGCCGTGGGTCAAGACCAACTCCAAGGGCGATGAGAAGCGTGATGCGTTGTCCATGGCCTTGCAAGCAACTTTGGAAGGCATCATGAGTCAAAAGGAAGTGAGGGAGGAGAGGAGGAGCAAGGGGAAGGACGAGCAAATGAAGTTATACCTAGAGATCCAAACGAAGAAGCTTGACATGAAGGAGGTCGTGTAGAGGAGGAAGCTTGGCATTGAGGAGGCCGCTCAATTGAAGAAGCTTGTGATCGAGGCCACCAATGCCGACACCAGAGCAAAAGAGGTGGCGCTCGCGATCATGAGCGTCGACAAGACCAACATGTCACCGGAGAGGAAGGCTTGATTCGCGAACCGGTAGAAGAAAATGTTCGCTCAAGACGGCCTGAACTAGGTGAGTGGCCTCGGCTGTGGACTATGGTCGTGCATTTTGAAGGCTGGCTAGTGTGCCGGCCATTGGCTTTGTTGCCAGCGCCAAAAACTTGTTCATTTTGAAGGCTGGCTAGTGTGCCGGCCGCTGGCTTTGTTGCCGGCATAAAAAACTTGTTCATTTTGAAGGCTGGCTAGTATGCGGGCCGTTGGCTTTGTTGCCGGCCCCAAATACTTGTTCATTTTGAGGGTTGGCTAGTGTGTCGGCCGCTGGCTTTGTTGTTGGCATAAAAACTTGTTTATTTTGAAGACTAACTAGTGTGCCGACCGCTGACTTTGTTGCTGGCGTCAAAAACTTGTTCATTTTAAAGGCTGACTAGTGTGCCGGTCATGGGCTTTGTTGCCGGCGTAAAAAACTTGTTCATTTTAAAGATTGACTAATGTGTCGGCAGCTGATTTTGTTGCCGGCGTGAAGTGATGACTATTCTGTAGGCCACTAATTTTATTGTTGGCCGGTATGAACCTCGGCCGCCCATTGCCATTTTCAAACGAACGAAATCCGGATAAAATGAACGGGGTCATGGGTTGGATTTGCTTTGCCCTTACAATGGATTCGACGGCTGCAATTTCCCCTCTGGCTGTCCGTGCACAGTTAGTTGTCGTTCAGAATTCACCTGGCTGTGCACGAGACATGTGGTCTCGTAGTTCCGCGTTTGCCAGCTCTACGCAGGTCCAGGTACAACACGTGATTCTAGAAAAAGCTGGAGGCGGCCGGCACAGTGTCCGTGCAGCTCCAAATCGTCCACACGGCTGAGCAAGAAGCCAGCGAGGACCCATTTTCGCGGAGGCTGACAGCGACAACGTCGTCTTTTTGCACATTTCAACGATTTCAGTTCGTACTCCATGGCAAAAAGGACGAAATGGAGAGCCAATTATAGATAGATAGGGCGACCGAGTGTGCTTCTTCGCACCGGCCGGCTCGCCGACGCTGCCAAACAATATACCTACACTTTTCGGGTGCGTGCGTGATCCCACCGCCCTTTAGTGATTGAACGTAGTACGTGTTCGAGGACCAGCTGCCGACAGCAGTGCATGCCATGCTCACTCAAGTTTGACCTGTAGATTGTACATTTCGCATGTAAATCGAGATACTGGTGTAGCTACGTGCTACTAGAAGGCAGCAAAGTAGTAATTCTATACTGGGGCCAAGAGATAATTTTTTGTAGCTAAAGAGTAATTAAGCACTAGACGGACGATGGCTATCCGTGTTAGTCTTAGCAAGCATGAAAAAGGGAAAACTGAAAACGAATTGACAGTACCAGAGAATGGGATAAACTGGGAAACAGTGGGAGAATTGATTGGGGATATGGATTTGGCACGGCATCAATCAAAAAGTAGTTGTGCTTGGGTCTGCCATTCACATGATCCAGCCAGGCCCATTGATTGGCCAATGCACCTTTTCTCCGGATCCCCCACCCAGCTGCTCACTCATCGAGACACCTGTGCTGTCCCTGCGCTCACATTGTCACATGTGTACAATCGTCAACAAATCCAAAGCATCCTCCGACTCGCCGATTCCAAAACATATTCAGCGTTCGCCTCTGTTTCTTCCTAAGCTCAGAGATCCTCATACGGTTGCTTCTGTTGCCTTCTTCTCGGTAAGTAGTAAGCTGGGGATTCCTCCTTTCTTGACTGATGCTGAACTGAGGATCTTACAGGGATTCATCTGTCTCTTGTTCAGGGTAAATTGGAAGATGTCTACCAAGTTGATAGCGCTCTACATTACAGTTTGCTCTGTTCTGTTCATCATATCCAAGATGCTCATCTCCTTCCTGTGCTACAAGAAGTGGGCTCGCAAGAAGAGGATCATCGAGACCAGCCTCACAGGTAACATGAGTTCTTCCCTCCCAAATGAGTTCATGGATACCTTCTTCCTTTTTCTCTTTTGGGAAGAAATAAATCGATGGATCACTCTTAAGGTGGCAAGCTGGTGATCTTCCGGTCGGCGGCGATGCAGTCGCTGAGCCCCAAGGCGTTCATGAGGATGATCATGGGGCTGTCGAGCAAGGACATCATCGGCTCCGGGGGGTACGGGACGGTGTACATGCTTCGGCTGGACGAGAAGTCGGCGTTCGCCATCAAGAAGCTGAGCAGGGGGAGCGCGGAGATGGACCGCGGGTTCGAGCGGGAGCTGGACACCATGGGCGACATCAAGCACAGGAACATCGTCCCTCTGTGCGGCTACTACGCGGCGCCTCACTTCAACCTGCTCATCTACGAGCTCATGCCCAACGGCAGCCTGGACACCATCCTCCACGGCAAGGAGGAGAAGAAGCAGGCCCTCCTGGACTGGCCGGTGAGGTACAAGATCGCGCTGGGCGTGGCGCGGGGGCTGTCCTACCTCCACCACGACTGCATACCGCACGTCATCCACCGCGACATCAAGTCCAGCAACATACTCCTCGACCACAACATGGAGGCCAGGGTGTCGGACTTCGGCCTCGCCACGCTCATGAAGCCCAACGAGAGCCACGTCACCACCGTCGTCGCCGGCACCTTCGGCTACCTCGCCCCAGGTCCGCAGGCTGCCCGTCGAAATCTCAATTTGTATATTAACCTTGAGATACATCATCATGCATGTGTGTTTGCTGATCGGTGGTGTGCTTGTTGCTTCAGAGTACTTCGAGACAGGGAGGGCGACGACCAAAGGCGATGTGTACAGCTACGGCGTCGTCTTGCTTGAGCTCCTCACGGGGAAGAGGCCGACAGACGAATCGTTCCTTGAAAACGGCACACGGCTGGTGACCTGGGTAAGCATCCACCTCTCATGCCTCCTGTACTCACACCACTGACTCGGTTAAATTCCGAATGATCGGTTGTGCAAGATACGATGCCCTGAGTAGAATAATTTGGCTTGAATCTCTAGAATGGTCGTTATATGCAATGACCAATGGATATGTTGCTGAAATAACAAATAACCAACCAACCTAGCTAGCTATCAATACTTAGCAATCTGTACTCTGTAGTTGTACCCACCAGAAAACTGATGGGCTGTGGCCGTCACCATGTCACCACGAGGTCCCCAATGTACTCCCATCTTCCGTGTCAAGATCAACGAGGACGGAGTACATTACTAGCGCAGTACAGTAGTATACGTAACAGTAGTATGGTCTGATAATGGACATGTACCCTTTCTGTAGATGTGAAGTAAAGATGACGAATTAATTGGGCATGCATCCCCGGCCGTGTCAAGTGCCGACATCAGTTCATCTGTTACTGTTTTCAGGTCAAGGAAACCATGGAGGAGAAGAGAGAGGAGCACGCCGTCGACGGCGCTCTGGCGTCTTTTCCGGCGGAGGAAGTCAAGTTCGTGTTCACGGTGGCGGAGAAGTGCCTGGAGTCTGATCCCCGCGATAGGCCAACCATGGTGCAAGTCGCCAAGATGCTTGAGCAGGCGAAGCTGGCATAGTACAGGCTAATTAACGCGCAGTATGTGTAACTAGGTGCTTAATTGGTTGCAGACAATTTTTCCACCCAAGGTGTTGCTTTTGCGAAATTCATGCTGGGTTCTGCACAAAATTTAGAAGATTTTTGTCGGCAAACGCTACCAATGGTGTTGTATAAGAAGCAAAATTTATTGTTTGCGTTTGTAATTGAATTTGTACAAACAATTTTATACTTATGATCCAATACTGCTGGGTAGACATAGGTTCAGTGCATCCAAGTAAGAATCATGATTGTAGAAAAGATATGGGATACAACTCAATTGTATTCCTCGGAGTTGATCGCAATGTATACACGAGATGTCTTGCGTGGCAAGCCAACTAATCCTACCATATCTCAAAAAATTAACTATACAAGGCTAGAGACTATAGAAAGATTAATTGTATATAAATACATATATGTCACGTTCAACACCCACTGCAGTTAAAGCGTCGGCGTCGGCGATGCAAAGACTGGAACGGAACTCCTGGAATGCAGCGGTTGGAAGACCTTTGGTCATAATATCGGTAAACTGTTGGGTGGTCGGTACATGAAGAACACGGAGCTGACCCAACTGTACCTTCTCGCGGACGAAGTGAACATCAAGTTCAATGTGCTTAGTGCGCTTATTCTGCACCGGATTAGCCGCGAGGTACGTGGCCGAAACATTATCACAGAAAACCACCGTAGCTTCGGGATTGCGACCCGAAGTTCACCAAGTAGTTGACACAGGCAACAAGTCTCAGCGACAACATTGACGACGGCACGTTACTCGGCCTCAGCACTCGAGCGGGAGACGGTTGGCTGCCGCTTAGAGGACCATGAGTCAAGAGAGTCGCCGAAGAAGACACAGTATCCCTACGTGGAACGTCAAGTGTCAGGACAGCCAGCCCAGTCTGCATCACTGTAGGCAAAGAGCTCAGTGGAAGCGGGGGCACGAAGATGAAGGCCGCAGTCGGTGTGCCGCGAAGATACCGGAGAATGTACTTGACCAGAGACCAATGAACATCACGAGGCGAATGCATGTGCAAGCAAACTTGTTGCATGGCAAACTGAATGCCTAGTCTGGTGAGCGTGAGGTACTGAAGAGCACTAACAATACTGCGTAGAGAGCGGCGTCAGTGGCAGGCTGTCCAGCAGTGGCAGAAAGCTTCGGCTTGGCCTCAGCAGGTGTCGCAGCAGACTTGCAGTCGGTCATGCTAGCATGGTCCAATAGATCCAGAGCATACTGTCCCTGATGAAGAAAAAATCCGGAGGCATCACGTCAAACATTAATGCCGAGGAAGAAGTGCAACACGCCCAAGTCCATCAGCCGAAACTCAGAACCAAGGTGGCCAATGATGTCGCAAAGCAGATCCATGCGAGAAGCAGTGATGACGATATCATCAACATACAGAAGAAGCATGGTGACATGATCAGCTCAATGAAGCACAAATAACGACGTGTTGGAGGTGGTGCTGCGAAACCCGAGAGCAGTGAGGGATGCTGCAATGCGTTGACACCACGCACGAGGCGCCTGTTTCAGACCATAGAGAGACCGTGATAGCAGGCAGACATCATCAGGCCGGGTGGGATCAACAAAACCAGCTGGCTGGTGACAGAGAACACTCTCCTGAAGATGACCATAGAGGAAGGCGTTGTTGACCTCGAGCTGATGAACAGGCTAGTGACAAGACACGGCGAGCTAAAGAACAACACGGATCGTGGCGGGTTTAATGACTGGGAAGAAAGTCTCCGAGAAGTCAACACCAGCACGCTGTGCAAAGCCGCGAACAACCCAACGAGCCTTGTACCTGTCCAGAGAGCCATCTAAAAGAAGCTTATGCCGAAATACCCATTTGCTGGTGATGATGTTGACGCCGGGAGGGCGAGGAACCAATGTCCAGGTCCAGTTGGTGACAAGGGCATCCTACTCATCACGCATGGCCGCGAGCCAGTGCGGGTCACTCAATGCAGATCGCACCGAGCGCGGGGGTTCGGCTGATGGATCCCGTCTTTAGCACGTGTCACCATGGAGTGATGAGGCGGCGAAGGCGGGGGTCGAGGACTACGTCGAGGCGGAGCAGCAACCTCGGTTGCGGAGGACGACGATGAAGGGCCCGCAGAAGAAACCGCAGGCGACGAGGCGACGGTTCAGGCCACAGGCGAGGCCGCAGATGGCGGTGACAAGGCCGCGGGCGAACCCGCGGGTGGCGAAGACGGGTCCGCGGGTGAGACCGAGGAGGACGACGACGAGCCGGCGGGCAAGGCCGCAGCCAGCATGGGCGCAGGTGAGAGCGCCAGAGATGCTGCAGAGGGCGACGTTGCGGCGGAGAGGACAACCGAGGACCCGGCCGAGGCACCTCTTGTAGACGGTGATGAAGGTGTCGTCAGGACGACAGGGGTTGGCGCCGAAACCCGCGAAGGCGAGGCCGGGTCCTCCTGAGCCGACGGGAACGAGACCGGCTCCACCAAAGCCGGCGAAGAAGGTCCTACCGAGGGAACCGAAGGGGCCACCGGAGAAGCATGCAGTCAAAACGCAGGGAGCGCAAGGGCTCCACAAGGCCGACGAGTGAGGGCATCCGAAGACGGGACTGCTGTCAGTGTAACCTGCTGAAAAGGGAAGACAACTTCATCAAAGTAAATGTGCCATGAGATGAACACACGACGAGAGACGGGGTCATAGTAGCAAAATCCTTTGGTGTGGGGTTGGTAGCCAAGAAACACACAAGCGAGAGACCGAGGCGCAAGTTTATGCGGAGCGGTGGCGGTGATGTTAGGGTAACACAAGCAACCGAAGACGTGAAGATCGTCATAGGATGGAGGAGACCCAAACAGGAGATGATGAGGTGTGTAGCTCCATCGTGGTTTGCAAGGCCGGATGTTAAGGAGAAGGTGGCGGTAGCGAGAGCATCTGGCCAAAACCATGGGGGCATGTGTGCATGGAAGAGCAGTGCACAAACACTCTCATTGAGGGTGTGAAGAACATGTTCGGCACGACCGTTTTGTTGGGATGTATATGGACATGTAACACGGAAGATGGTGCCATGGGTGCATAGAAGGTGTCGAATGGCGAGGTTATCAAATTCTTTTCCGTTATTAGTTTGAAGGTGAGCAATGGTGCGATGAAAATGGGTGTTGACTTAAGAAAAAAAGGAGTGAAGGGTGGAGGCGACGTCGGATTTACGACATAACGGAGAAGTCCAAGTGAAGTGAGAAAAATCATCTAAAATCAGAAGGTAATATGATAAGTCCAAATTGCTAGGCACTGGAGATGTCCAAACATCATAATGAATAACATCAAAAGAAAAAGTCTTAATTGATGAAGATGAAGAAAACTGCTAGTGAATGTGTTTTCCTATGCGGCAAGCATGACAAGTATGAGTCGTTGATTTATTACATTAAAAGAGAAAAGTGCTCAAAATTTTATGAAGAGCATCGGCGCCGGGATGACCAAGTCGAGCGTGCCAAAGCGAGACATCGACATGGAGAGCAACCGGACCGCCGCTCGTAGTAGGGATGCATGGTAGAGATCATCGGGGGAATCACATCGGTGCAGAACCCTTCGGGAGCGAGCATCCTTGACAGAGAAACCAAGAGCGTCAAAGTCAACAGTGACATGTGTTTGCACACGAACACGTCACCGTGTACCTCCAACACCGAAGATGATGCACCGCAGCTCACGTCGAAGGAGACCCGTCCGGAAACGCGGTACGCAAGCAATCCGACGGGTGCTTTTGAGGACCCGAAACCCCACACGCCCGGGAAGGACCCCATCAGGGCGCGCGACGGTTATGGGCTGCCCTAGGTCGACCTGATCGCCCCTAGGACCTCGAGGTTCGCCGCCCTGCAATGAAGAAGAACGAACGAAAAATGAAGAAGAAGAAGAAGAAGAAGAAGGGAGAAGAAAAAGTAAAGGTAAAAGATGTAGATAGATTTGTTCGATTGTGTGTTGTTCAATCGATCGTCACCTCTTGTCTATATATGAGGCGGATGGACTTCCCGTACAAGAAAAGGACTTTCCTAGCCATCCAAATCATCAAAACCTAATAAAATACAGACTATTCATGACCTCCGGCCCGGATGTCCGGCTCAAAGCCCGGATGATCCGGCCTAGCCCAGTTTTGTGACAGCAGCTCACTAATCGGGGAGTAACTTTTGCATACAAACTCGGATTAAGATGATTTTTATATCAAATCAACCGCCTCGACGAGATGCACAACCCTTCCGTTGAACGCTTTTTGATCTGAGGCCATCTTGAGGGTGTTTCGGGCCGTTTTCTAAAGTCTGTAGCAGAAAAAGTTGTCTAGACGTCCGGATGATTGCCCGGATTGTCCGGCCTTTATCCGGATCATCCGGGACATGAACCAGATCATCCAGCTTTAAATTTTCTTTTCTGTTATTTTTATCAAATTTTCGGCCCCCGGCCGGATGATCTGGACCCCGGTCCGGATGATCCGGCCATGCAGTGCTGCAGCATACAGTTTTGGCCGTAACTTTTGTATACGACCTCGGATTAAGACGATGTTTATATCAAAATCGTCCATTTCGATGAGATGAAGAACTTTTCTGTTGAAGACTTTTTCATCCGAGGCCATCTTAATTAGGTTACATGCCATTTTCTAATCTGATGTCAACACGGGTATCTTTGAAATTGTCATATCTTTTGCACTTGAGCTCCGTTTTGGTCCATCTTCATATTTATTTCGATCATCTTGAGGGTCATCAAATGATGACATGAACTCATAATTTTAACCTTATCCCATTATAGGCTCAAGTCACTCTTTGCGATCATGCCATTTTTGAGCGTCAACACATGCCCCCTGTTTTTCGGCAAAGCTAGCGTGCCGAAAAATAACTTGTACCTTGTTGGTTCTAAGGACGATGCCAACACTCCATCGGCCATTTATATGCTTATGGTGATAATTATATATCGGCCATATGGATCAGCAACAAAATGCAGCTAATCAAATGAATGATGATGTAAGAAGTTATACTGAGTCCATG